ACTACATTTGGTTATATTCTTTTTGTGATTGGACTCGGGCCTTAGGCAATTGATTTCACCGAATTGTAGGTATATTTCTGTAAGGCTCTAAACAAATCGAATCACCCAAAAGTCGTCTGGATAATATTCACAAGCAATGTTATGATATTACATTGTTCTTTCAATCTTCCTTAAATCGTCTCTTCTTACCATTATTGATTTCGTAATTTTTTCTGGACCTCGCATTGTTAATTCTTATCAATGAAAATGTTCATGTCAGCCTGATGATGTTGTGGTAATGTCAAATGAAACTTTGACTTTAAACATACGTTGACCTATCATTTTGCTCTCACAATTACCTTCGTGCAGAGTTCGTGGGATTGCCCTAGATTCGACATCTTACACATCAATCGCAAAGGCTAGAAATTCTGCAGTAGCACGAAATAACATAATTTACTCATCTTTCCAATTCTTTGCTAATTGATCACGGGGTTCCGCAGGGTTCTATCGTACGCCATATCCTCTTTATTTTATACTTAAACGATACGCCCTCGTCCATTAGAAACGGAAGAACATTTTTTAACTGATGACACGAATTTTCTTTGCTGAAAAGAAAGAACTAATAGTACGATTTCAGAAGTTTCGAGTTGGTTTCATAATAAACAAATAATTGTTAAGAAAGGAAAACGGATTCAAAGAAGTTTCGCGTTTCAAAGCAGCGATCACATGCGATATTGAAAATTAACAACGTGCAATTGACTATATTAAAAGTAACAAAACTTGGAGTCTCTCACTTCAGTCAAGCCTTAAATGGAATATAAAATAAATTAATAGAACACTGAATAAAACTTATTTCGTTATGCATTCAGAATACTTTCAAATCGAGACGACCTTCATGCAATTAAATTGTGTATATTTTACAAATGTAGTACATTCACTCCTGAGATACGGCATAATATTCTGGAGAAGCCCTTCCTATAGTACACACACTTTGAGATTGTAGACAAAAAATATTCGAATAATAAAACTTCCACGTAATTCTTGTACGCCTCCCATTGAGCTTGGTATCCTTATCTTTGTCTTTCCAATAGTTTCTATAGAATCTATAGTTTTGCCAAAACTTACTAGCGGTGGGAACTTATTTTAATGCATACTGATATTTATAGTTATAACAAACGCCCTAGAAATCACATTCATATGTGTCAGTGACTACAGCTCACTATAATATATCCACTGACAATACAGTACGTTACTTAACAGCACATTGCCAGATGTTAAATTAAAATCGGTACACAACTTTAAGTACAAAGTACAGTTGTTTCTTCTGTATTGCTTCTGTATTCTTCTGTATTGCAATACAAAGAAAAACGACAGTAACCATCAAAAACGTCATTTAACATTTGCATTGTATAATTTTAAAAATACTTAATATACCACTAAGAATGAATACATTTCAATTTTTGGGTCCATTACCCCATCTCGATGCGGTTTTTGTTCAGTTTCCCTGAGCCATTGAGCAAATGCTGAGATTGCCCCTTCGTTTTGCTTCTGGGCATAAATGTAACTTCACTACACGCACGTTTGTTGAGCTTTCCTTTTGCTAGTTGCACTTTTGCTAGTAGTGGATTAAATTGACTACGTCATAAATATTATATTTAATATATTTATACGTATTGACATAGAAACTTTAAAGATGCTTCTTCAAAAAGTGCTGAGGCTTTACTGGCCCACTGAGATTTTGATGCATTCACCAAATATTTCATTCTCAAGGAACCGCTTCGCGTCCGTCCCAAGTTTTTTAAGTTAAGTCCTCCATTTTGTAAGTGAAGTAATTTGAAATTATTATTAGGGTCAAAAGAGTGGTTTTGTTGGATTACTTTTATCAAATGTATTGTCTACTAGTTGAACTGTGGAATTTTGAATTGTTGAATTGCCTAAATGTTGAATTGGTACTTTTATTTTGTCACCTGATGAGCATAGGTGAGAAAAATATACTTGTCATTAACTATACAATTAAATGTATATTTTTACAAATGATTTTTTCATTTATTAAAACCTTTTTCTGTTTTTTAAGACTCTTGATTTCTTCAAATGTCAATAGTCTATTGTCTTCTACTTCACTAGCCTAGGGTATTGTAGAGTAGGTCCAGTTAACTGTTTCTAGTTCTAAATAAAATTAATAAAGGTTACAAAATTAAATTTGTAAAATCTTACTCATTTAAATTTCTTGGGAAATCAAGTGTCATTTAGAATATTTTATTTTGCATCAAGAAACTAATGATATTTCAATTCAAGTAATCAGGAAGAATTCAGTGACTTTACTTCAAAGCTTGTTGTGTTTAAGACATCATTATTAAATTAACTGCTTATTTTTAACAAATATTTATTATATTTATTAAATTTAAACTAAATTGTTGAAGGTAGATAAAAGTATAGGTCTATTGAGGTAGAGGCACAACAGATTTTCATCTAGAAACTTTCTGACATGTTTAAAATGTTTTAAAGTAATTTTAAGATGAAATGATGAAAATATTTCTTTCTTAAGTAAATATCCAAAAATTGGAAACTCAACTATAGAAATACGTTTTAAAGACTTATTTCTGATATTCCACACAGAGAAAAAAAGTATACATAAACTAAAACGTAACAACTGAAACAAAAAAAAAAAATAAATAAATAAATAAATAAAAAGAATTTAAACAGTTCGTAGAATTTTTTCACAACTATTTAATGTATAAATACGTTTACTTTTATAAAATATAATTTTGATGAAAATGACTAAAAAAGAGACCCTGTCACAAAATATGCCACACTAGCCTCAGTAAGTTCCCAGTTTTTCGTGTATATGTTAATATCTAGATTTGGGTCAGTGTGTCTCATCTTGTTACTGTTCCAAACCCTACATAAATATGAAAAAAGTCATACACAGTAACAATGTAAGTCACACATGTTTCATCAAAATCGATCACTTAAGGAATAGCGTGAGGCGACCTGTGACTTGTAGGACGTGTCTTGTTTATGAGGAGTAATAAGATAAGTCGTATCAGCCTTTCATTTCATTTCTCATTTAAAAATAATACTAATAAATTTCGAAGTACTTCGTCTGAAACAGAAGACAAGGTAGATGTGATATTTTTAACTACGTTGAACATTTGGAAATTTGCCATAAGTGTCCAGCAAAATCGAGTGAACAAAATGAAAGTGATTCGTTATGATATTCGAATGTAAGAAAAACAAATTACTTCGAGTTCTAAAATGCAGGTTAAGTGATATATAATAAACAGAAAAGAACATCCTCATATCTCTCTTTAGACTTTAAAAAATCCTGCCTAATTATCAAGGTCAGAATCACTAGCGTAATCATTATTGTCATCTTTCAGTCGTTGGGCATTATTTTGCCTGTAACGTTCCTCATCTTATAGGAGAGGTCTGCCAGTGCTCCCATTGTACAGGTTTATTCTTCTACAAACGAAAGGGCAGCCTCCTTTAAACCACTCCATTCATCGCCACGTCTTCCTTGAATCCCTTGTCCCTCCTGTCATCTCAATTATTGTCTTTCATTTAATTGTTGTGAGTCACGCCTATCCAACCCGTAGTTCTGTCCCTTCTGTCTACCCTCCTCCCATCCCTTCGTACGCCCACACCTCCCTCCTGCGTCTTCACTCCACCCCCACAGCCATTCAGCAAGTGAGTGTGCCTCTGTCGACTTTCACCCCCAACCGTGGAGAGCACCCTCTGTACCTGCAGCCCCCCTCCCGCGCATCCGATCCACCGGGGACTACCGAGCTGTGGGAAGTAGATGACCTTCATTTTCTCGTTCAAGGTCAATGTCCGGCGGTCACGTGACTGGCGGTGGCGCTAGAGGTAACGGTGATGGGACGGTGAAGGTGGTGGTGACGGGGAAAGAGACGGTGACTGGACGATGAAAGAAACAGTAAAGAAGGCGGTGACTGTGAAAGACGCGGTGACGGTGAAAGACGCGGTGACGGTGAAAGACGCGGTGACGGTGAAAGACGCGGTGACGTGTGAAAGACGCGTGGAAGGACAACGGCCCGACGGTGAAAGGACACTGCGAACGTGAAGACACGGCGGACGGTGAAGGACACGGCGACGGTTGAAGACAGGCGTGGACAGGCTCACTGGGTGGCGATGGTGGCGGATGGTGGGATGTGCGAGGCGGCAGCGGTGGGTGGTGGTGGTTGGTGGGTGGTGTGGGGTGGTGGTGGTGGGTGTGGTTGGCGGGTGGCGGGCGGTGCGGGCGGTGGTGCGGTGGTGGCGGGGTGGCGGGGTGGCGGGTGGCGTGGCGGTGGCGGTGTGGTGGGGTGGTGGGCGCGGCGGCGGCGGTGGCGGGGGCGGTGGGCGGGGCCGGGGGCGGGGGGCGATGGTGGCGATGGCGGCAAGCGGTGGTGTGGTGGTGGTGGTGTGTGGTGGCGGTGGTGGTGGTGGCGGCGCGGCCGCGGTGGCGGGGCGGTGGCGGGGGCGGTGGCGGGGGCGGTGGCGGGGGCGGTGGCGGTGGCGGTGGCAGGGGCGGTGCGGGGGCGGGGGCGGGGGCGGGGCGGGGGCGGTGGCGGGGGCGATGGCGGGGGCGACTGGCGGTGGCGCGTGGGCGGTTGGCGGTGGCGGGGGCGGGGGGCGGGGGCGGGGGCGGGGCGGGGGCGGGGGCCGATGGCGGGGGCGTGGGCGTGGGCGGACGGCGGTGGGTGGGGGGCGGGGGCGTGGGTGTCGGCGGGGTGGGGGCGGGGGCGTTGGGGCCGGTGGGGCGGTGAGGGCGTGGGTGGGGGCGGGAGCGGTCGGGGCCCCCCGGTGGGGGCGGTGAGGCGGTGGTGGTCGGCGGAAGGCGAAGGCGGTGGCGGTGGTGGGCGGTGGGCGGTGGTGCGCGGTGGTGGCGACGGGGGCGGTGGCGGCGGCGCGCGCTGGTGGCGGTGGCGGGCGGTGGTGGTGTGGAAGTGGGTGGAGAGTGGTGGCGGTGGAGCGGTGGAGGCGGTGAGGCGGTGGAGGCGGCGGCGGCGGCGGCGGCGGCGGTTGCGTGGTGGGCGGCGCCGCCGGGTGCCGTCAGTCGGCGTGCAGCTGCCGCGCCGCGAGGACACGGCGCCAACATGAGGACTCCGGGTGAGTGAGGCCGGCGGCGCACCTGCCCCCGCCACGCGTCGTGGTCCTCTGCGCTGCGGAACTCGTTTTCTCGGGAAGGCATTCTCAGGTTTTGTTACACGTTTTGTTTACGTGGATAATTTCCATCTGCCTTATCTTTGTTTGAAAGTGCCTACTCTGAAAAAATTGAGTCAAGAATATCCATTTCTCCCACTATTGAAAATGTCATTATTCATATTTTACAGTTCCGAGGTTCTTATTCCATTTTGACGTTTTAGTTTGATATAAAAATTGTAGATCAGTTACCGTACGAATAAATCTGTTTTCCGGAATCTGGACATGGGAGATTGGATTTTTTTCATCTAATTTACTTTTCACAGTCGTAGGTTTCTTGTTTTATATCATTTCTACAATATGTCACTGTTTTCGTGAAAATACTTTACACAGAATCATCAGAGAAACGTGTATATTATATATGGCTTCAACATGAAAAGAATGTCAACTTTTGGCATCACTTGACTAGACCTGTCAGTTTTCAACGAACTTTCATACTTTTGATACTCTCCTTCAAAATGACGGTTCTTAATTCTTATAAATAAGATAGAAGTATTTCGGATCTGCAAAGCAAACGCTTTAAGCAAACGCGAATAAGCTGAACTTCATATTTCGTTTTGTTCTAAGATAATTTGTATCAGATTGTGATAGTTTTATCCATTACTTTTTTGGCAAAATTAGAAAAAGTGCAACAAGTCTGAGTCGAAACACGAAATTATTCCTCTATGATAACGAAAACTGTCTGAAAGATTATAATATACGTAGCGAATATATAAAAGAATGTGACAACCGAACTTTTCTATACCGAACTCCATTTTACACAGCGATTTGTTTCTAATTTTACTAAAAGAACTTTCGCAGTACCACTTACCGACAAAGCTGCTATTAAACCTGGTGGTGGTTGTGTATTGTGAGTATATTTGTGGCAGTTTTTTTACATTCATTCATTTTTACGCTTTAAACTTGTTTGTTGGGTGGGTGGGGGGTTGAAGTAATTACCAACGTTGGTTAAAATGCAATTTCATAATTTCATCGCTTTGAAGAATGGGGATATATTCATTATTCATCATACTATTTATTATTTTCTTATCTATTACAGTTCTGTGTCCTAGAAATTGTTTTTTTATTGTAACAAGTGCCCTTTGATCAAGTCAGTAATTACCTATAGAAAACATTGCATTAATATTTTATTCGTGAAAATATTCAAAATTTTTCAGGGATTGTTTGATCGTGACAACGAGACGTACGGGTAAAATAAATACCCGCAACAGAAATATGTTTTTGTTATGCATTAAATTTACTATTTTCCAAAATACATTACTATATAATAATTCAAAATGATTCATAGTTGTAATATTTTCGGTATAGAAATCAAGTAAAATAAACTTAGAATCGGGTTATTTCAGTCATTACATTATCAGTAAATTTTTTTACGTATTTATTTATTTGCTTATTTCAAAAGCTTCCAATTTTTACTTTCTTTCATATTAGTTACGTAGTATAGAGAAATTCTTGTGATGTTTAAAAAAAAAGAAAAGGCATTTTTTCTTACAGAAAATTCATATTTTTGTGTTTTGATATCGAAAAAATAGATAACTCTTGTTCCTTTGTGTAGTAAATTACTTCCTAGAACAATTGTCTAGCCAGAACTCATGTTTCGTGAGTCCTTGCTAACGAACAATATTGATTTGCGACAAAAAGTCTGTCTGTCCTTCCTTCTGTGGTCAACGCCAGTGCTTAAGCTGTCAAATAGTTTTCTTCAAAACTCTTATTCACTGATAAATCTGGGGAACTCAAGGCTCTGCGAATTTTAAACAGATATTTCGTTATGTAGTGTCTACTGTAATCTAACCTTTATAAAAATTTTCTGAAAAATGGCACCAAATTTTTGGAATAAATTTGCTCCGTGGAGAGAGGTCACTAAAAAAAAGGCGCAAGCCTCCTTTTATTGAACTTTTGAATTTTCGAAAATTGAAAAAAACTTACAAATAAAGTGGAGAAGTATGAGCAATTCGAGCACATTCACTTTCTTACTAATGAGAAGTAGTTAGGCAGCCTCTATGATATGCCTATTGCTTTTACAGAGATTTTGAATGTACGCCTAACATACGGTATCATATGTGGTGTTTCTTTTCAATTGAAACCTCTACTCGTGTTAGTTTTCTTCACAGAAAAACGGGTTTGTTGGCTCGGGATATCAATTGATATTACTGCAGTGCCTCTGACCCGGAAGTCTTATGGTTTGAGAGCCTTCGGAGGCAGGATTGCGGCTCTAGTTACATTGTTAGGACGAATCCAATCACTGTCAGCAAGAGAATTCTTGTTGCCGACTGCCCTGATCGGTAGTTTTACGTGGTTTCTCCGATCAACACCTGGCGAATGTCTGAGTAGTACTCTAACAAACGGGCCACGGACTACGCGCGATCTTTCCATCCACTTCGTTCTCTTGTCTTCACCTTTACTTCGTACACACACTTACGTTTACATGCACTACACTAGCCCACATGTCGGGAGACTGGTCCCGGAGACTGTCCCGGCTGGGGCGGTGCCGCACTGGTTGGTAGTGATTCCTGGTTAGGGACAACCCCGCCAGCCGACGTGTAGGACAGCAGCGCATCTCGCCATCCAGCGGGGAACATCACTGCCACCTCGCGCGGTAATGGGCACCACACGCAATAATAATAATAATAATAATAAAAATGTCTTTATTAATGGCGAGGCTCAGGCCATAGGGCCTGCTCTTCCGCCTAACCACTGAAATTTACATACATTTAGAATAGTAACATTTTAAGAGGGGATGACAAGCTGTACATTTACGCCTGGGAGAACAAACCTAGGGACCATCCCGGCATACGCCTTAAGCGATTGAGTAAACCCAGAAAAACCTCAATCAGGATGGCGGCTTAGGGCCGAACATTAATAGTACTGAGTAAGTTGTACATAGTAGTGAAAGGGAAGTTTCGTAAAAGAGAAAAGAAGAGACGTTCAGGGGAAGGGGTCTAAAATTAAAAATGATAAAATTTGTGAGGAAGAGGGAAGAGAAAAGAAGCGAAGAAAAGGACGAAGAAAAAGTAGGCGAAAAAAGTGAAGTTATTTGAGGAACGTTAGAGAAAGCTACGTTTAGTTTACGTTTAGTAGCTTTTTACATAAATATACAATAATTTTAACACCAAATAAGCACAATACACTGTAAGCAAATAACAACAGTAATTTTAAACACAATACTGGCAGTACTAAGGAACAATACAAAGAGTGCTGGTATCTTAACATCAATTTTGTTTATGCCAATATATTGTAGTAAATATCCTGATGGTACATGGTACGCAATGGGCTAATGGCCTCGCCAATTGCTCGCACAGGAACATTAATTTATCAACAATCTTCATACAAGGTGTTTAAAAGGATGGTATGTGTACATATTACTCCCAAACAGCTAGACTTCATGGGAAATACTTGAAGGAAAACAAAACTTACAAATTCAACATATCTGACTTCTAAAAACTTCCTATAATTTACAATAATAGTTGAGAGGGGTAGAATGAGAATTATAATTTTTAATTTCTGTACTAGGTAGAGCGAAAGTGAAAGTTGTATTTAAATCAGTATTTTAAAGAATGCATGCCCCAGAATCGTGATTGGAAATTAAATGTTTTTTATCTATAGCTCATACTGGCCAATTAAATTATATTCTAAAGGTGAAATAAACAACATGCATTTGCTTCGAAGCAGTTCATGTAATAATTTGGAAAAGTATTTCAATACATACGATTACTTCCTAAACAAAATAAGTGTTTAGTGAGATCTGTGTTAGTAAAACGACTTGAGCCAAATTTTGAAGGAATTTATACCATATTTCCCTAAATTATTTTATTCTCACAAAAGCCCGAACATCCCATCTAATGCCATTAGCTTTGCCTGGAGATAATGCTCTCTTGCAACCCTCTAGTGCAACCCTTGCAACCCTCTAGTGCAACTCTTGCGACCTTCAAATGATGCAGGTAATAGATTTCAAGTTTAAAAAATTAAAGTAATATGTACAATAATCAAAATAATGCTTGCTAAGAGGGCAGTATTCTATAGAGATCACGTACACTTTTTGGGGTGATATAATTCCAAAACAATAACATAGACTGTTGGAAATTGTGTCATACCTATATGCATATTTTCCAGGACCGAAGCTTCTTCCATAAAGAATTAGGAAATGCTTTTACTGAACAGAATTTTAAAAATTGGCTCAGAGACGCAATCGGCAAGCGCGCACACGTGAACAGATCTTACGTGCGGAGCAAATATAATTTTTACCCAGTAGATTTTTTCTTTTTTTCCGTATACATTTTCAGTCATTGTAAGTACACACGACAATTTTCTTCCGAATAGTTTCTTTAAAATGCAGACAAATTCTTTGACAGCATATTAGATGAAAGCCATGACCTATGACAGTATTAAATGGAGTTGCCCGAATAATCAAGTTGGCATCCTTGAATTCGCTTCACTACTTGCATATTTAAGCTCAAGCACGATCCCTTTCGTATATTGGGTTTACCAAACACACTTGCATATATTTTTTTAATGTAGTGATATAAATGCAACGGCTAAATATCGCGATCTACTGACAACGGGGATTTCCGAATATGTCTGCATTTTCAGCTTACAAAGCAGAAAATCGTTTGCAGTTGTCACTGTGGTTAACGTTCTGCAACCAAGTGCTGTTCGCCTTTTTGCGAATTTAGAGACCCCTTCGCTGCTTCCGACCGCGAGGCGAACTCTTACATAAGTAGTCTCTTTGTGGTATCTGAATCCGAGTTTTATGAATCCTCTGGCTTCTACCAGAGGAACGGAGAACTTGGTTGGTTGATTGATTAGTGATTTCGGGCGCATCAACTGCTAAGATAATTAGTTCTATAAGTGTAGTGCATGTTTTAACGCGGCGATCTTCCTCAACTGTTTGGTGAAATCCGTCGCTGACC